TTTCGTTGTTTTGATCAGGCCTTGTCGGAAAATGCCACCACTAAAACATCGATGCAGTGGAACAATACACTATTAGTATTCCAGTAACTATTTTATTAACAGAACGTCTTGGAGCCACTCGTCAATTTCGGCGATCAAGTGCCATTCCCCACCCCCCGAATACCACTACAGAATACTCACGGGCCACACAAGAAACAACTAACAGCACAAATTGTTTCAGCCAAGCATGTACTACTACGATTTTTGTTACAGAACCAACTTCATTAAATTTCTTTACAGTTCTGCCTATAATGCAGTCATATAAGTAGATTATGTTGACATTAATCTCTTCGTATACAATATTACTAATACAGAACTATCTTTTTTGGTATGGGACTATTATAAAATTATTAATGGTTACTAAAGAATCTATATAGAAAAATGGAAACCCTTAAGGTTTATATATGATGCTTTGGATGATAGCTTTATTTATTTGTCACTGAAACAATGCTACTAAATCAGCTACACGAATGGGGTAACCTTTTATACTCTCTGCTTTCTCCAATAATTATTGGCGATTATGTGCTTACTCTACAACATAAAACGAAGAAAGTTTTTTAGTCTCATGTCGGTCTCTTTCCTTTTTCAGAGTGTTGTATACTGATCAATCAAATCAGAGGGTAATCTGTATTTCATGACCTTATAACTTGTATTATTATTTATACCATACTTCATTAGACACTTAAGGATACAACAAATGATTTCAATCTATCTATATTCTGTGACAGTTGTCTAAGCTCCATAAACGATTCGCCAGTGCTACTGTTTATTGTTCTTCGGCATTTTGTAGTGGGCTTGTCTCTACGCCTAGTTCCTTGGGGGTTCCACGTTAGCGCTGTGTGCGGTATGTCATCATATGGTTTACTCAGTGTATATTCTATCCACCTATATTTTTGTTTTATGGATTTCAATATTTATGGATGTTTGGCTGGTTTGCTTCCAGAGTTTTTCATTTGATATCATTCTCGACCACCACATCTTTACTATGTTTCATAAACAGTGGTTGATGAAAGTTTGTGGTTTAGCCAGTATACTCATAAATAAAAATAAAATTGTAAATAAGAATGTTAAGAACAATAATGAGAAATAAATACTAAAGCTATCTCAATGACAACTAAAGTTACGCAGAGCAGTGAAGACTGTAATCACTTGAAAACTGTTCCAAGTAAAAAAATGAAATAAATTTAAAATACATCAAATGTTTACTTAAAGGACCTACAGACACATATCCTGCATAAAAGTCGCATTTACGGTGTTGTGTGAGATTTGTGTTTTGTATTTGGACTCCAAAAATTGAAAATAAAAGACTTCACCTCGCAACGCATGAGTTTCCAAATCCAACCCGATAAGAGGCAAACAGCTCTCAAAGGCAAACAAATAACCAAAAAACGATGAAAAATGATTGCAATAAAAAGAAAAACTTAAATGAAAAAGATTCCTTTTGTGGCTAAAAACCAAGTTTCCAATAGATTGGGAATACATTCGCTTGAAACTTTTTATTCCCTTAACCACAGATGGGGCTAATGTTTACATATTTTCTGCGATAAAAGTAGAATTTTTACGCTGACATATTTTGCTCTCAAATGTTTGCTAAACTTCCGTTTAACTTTTATTTTGACTCTTCGATACAACTTAACAAAAACAAAAACGAAAACACGACAGAAATGAAATACTATATAGAACTTAATGTCTTTACAGATAAAAAATTTGTTTGGTTCGAATAAATCCTATGCGGTATTCCAAAATAACACGAATTCTGAAAAAGAAATTTATAAGTCGTGAAAAAAATTTGGGATGTTTTCAGTAAGAAAACAATAAATAAAATTATTTTCAAAAAATTAGAATAAATTTTAAAACATATTGAGAAGATCTCCATCTAACCTCCCAAACAATAAATAATAGTTCTTTATACCTTGACATACAAAGAAGATATGCTATGATACTGGATTTATTCTGTAATGACTTTTGTTGTGGTTCTGCGGATAAGTAGGAAACTGCGCTCCAACTCTTGTATATCATGTGACCGCCTTTACTTACGAGAACATCTAAAATGTTCAGGTCTATGTTTCTTACCTAACTGCAGCTGTCATCCTGCTTATACAATTGTCAGGTTTTCTTCATCTATACCTAATGGTGGTGGCTGCCTTTTCAGCGTTGTACGTACTTCTAGTCTATAGAGGTACAAGACCGCTACCCCAACCTAACCTAACCTATCAATGAAAAACTATATCTTTGTTCTCAAAATAGAACAACTTGGTCTTTAAAACAACACCAAAGCCAATACAGAATGCTTCTAGAAGCTGAAGATGCACTTATACCAGAAGAAGAAGAAAATGATCTTGAGAAACATTCTTTTATCCTCCTTTAACCCACAACCTTTAGCCTAGTCTTTAAAAATAGTTCTAGACGGTCGCTATGGCTGGTTATAAAAGATTTTACCGTAAGTTGAATTGCTATAACTAATACTCCTAGCGGTAAACTGCAATCCCGAACTCGAATATAGAGTAAAGTTGTTGATACGCCTTGAATGCTGATTCATCGTCATGCCTACCAATAAGACAAGGTTCTATTAGTACGGCAATTATGGTATGTTGGACAGTGAGTAGCAAGCAAAATTAATTAGTTGATCTGCCTTTTCTAATTGTGGCCCGATCTTTTCATATATGTGGTTTGGTAAGTGTATTTTCATGCCATGTTTGATCCGACATTATAGGTAAATACCCATATATATGGCAACAAACTGCAAAAATTATAAGAGGTTGTTGATTTCAAGCAATTTCAATAGATTTTAGTTTTGGATCTCGTTATTAACTTACATTTGTATAACAAAAATTTAATCAAATATGCATTTCCGAATTTTATATATTAAACTTCTAAATTATAATTTTTAAAAAAATCAGTTAAATTTTTTTCTTTTTATCTATTCTTTATTTCTGAAATCTAAATAGAAACAGAATGTCTATTAAAGAGGTTGTACGTAAGGCTTTTGGTTTTCATAAGAACACAACAAAAAGACATAAAAAGTCAAAGTAAGTAGTCATATCATATATGCAATATAGTATTGATATTTATCGATTTTAAATCACATTCCATCTATAGAAAAGTCAAAACGGATTTGTCTAATAATATCAAATCTTTCCGTATTCTTAATGTTGAAGACCCAAAGGCTGATTTACCTACTAAACAGGATTTATTATTATTCATTGATTGGATCAAAAATTTTGAGATATGGAAGCGTAGAATTAAAGATATGCGTAATTTGGATATTACGCTATTTGCAGATCCTGGAAACACAGAACAAATGTTAATATCTCAATACAAGAAAATGTTGAAGACACTTGAGATCTTTGATGATATGATGAATGATTTTAGCATTGGTATGTCTTGGTTCAGTGCTGTTGAGTCCTTAGGTGCTGGTATAGATGAATTGTGTATGTTCCAATTTAATTTTAATCATTATCTATACTGTATACTCGTTTCTTGTAAATTATTTATGGGTTATTTAGGGTTTGACTTGGAGGATATAAGAGAATTCAGTAATAAAGTTAGAGACGCTTGGTTTCATATCAGTAATGAAATTATCAACTTACTACATCTCCGATCAGTTGTTACAATGAAATCCAATCATAATCCTAGCACAGAAAACTTTTATAGAAAAAAGTAGAAGAATATACAGAAATAACATGATTTTTAAGGAAAAGGATTACTTAGAAGACTTTCCTATTCATTGAAAATGAATCCCACGAGCATCAGTCATACGTTTTATAACACTCTTATAGTCAGTCCTTTATTTCTAAATAAATTTTTGTATATATGTGATAATAAATGAACTTTTTCTTAATTCGCGTTTTTTGTCTACTAATGAATATAACCTGGGTCCTCCACTACACAAGAATTAAAACTTATTGCTCTTGCGATACATCCGGTATCGTATGTACTTGATGATACTTGATACTAATAAAACTTCAAGTGTTATATGATACGCTGTAATGATATCATTACAAATGATTAATTTCGTCAAGAATCACATGTTTTCAAAAAGAAATCAATCCCAATTGAAAAAAATAAATAAGAAATTTGCAGTTTTTTAATATTTTACCTTAAAGGTGTACATTCTTAGCACACTGAGCAACTTTCTTGATTTCCTATTATTAAGGTTCAGCTATGTATGTTACATTAGCCTAGATGTTATATAAGTGATCTCCTTTACCCAGGACTTTTTGGTTTTTTCGATAGCAATATTCCTTAATAATAGTTTCAAGAATAGGTCAGTTTCCCAGTTTAACTATTTCGTTAGCCCTGCTACTTTTTTGAATTTTAATGTACGACAGAGTCCATATTAAGCATAATTCGGAAAGGTTGTTGATCTCACAAAGTACTACTATATAATTCTAACTAAGATTTGAACGTAACATCAGTGAGTTCATGGATATATATAGCTGTCTGGGTATTGAAGTGTATTCGTTTATATAAGAAATCCTATGATTGCTATAACCTGTGTCTGATAGAAACCAAAACAGTCAAACAATGGACGGCAAGTGTTAAGCCTAAGTCTTCGAAAAAGATTCCAAGAACAGAAAGGACTTAAGTTTCTCCAAATAAATATAAATAAAAGGTGGCTTCAGGTTATATATAGGTTATAAGTTATGTGTTTGACCTCTCCAGCAAAGATTTAGAAATATGTTGTCAAACTTATCACATTCTTATTATAAATTCTTATTATAAAGTTTTAAGAATGAGTTGTGACAACAATTAGATACTATATATTTAATATCGTTATTATATATGCAGTGAAAAAGTGAAGGTCTCGAAGCAGCTTGAAACGAAAACATAAAAGTGACCCTCCTCGAAGTAATGCGAATGCAGTGCATAAAGCATTCCACATTATCACCACGAAAAAAAGGTCATAGGTATATATTATCATATATATCATTATATCATATATATAAATAAAATATATCTTGTTAATCTTAAGTGGTCTTATCATAAGTTATAGTAACTTTTATTAAAAAGGAATAAAAAAATATATGAACAAAAAACAAATATCCTTCAGGGATAATAATGTTCATGCCTCTTACATCGAAGACGGTTGTAACGAATACTTGAATCTCTCCGATAAAACTATTTTCTTTAATATCTGAAACTATCTATTTAAGAAAAAAATTAGTACTGACACAAGAATAATTTACTAATAAGAACGTACTTCTGCCTGTGTGTGTTTGTCTAACACCACGTATTACCTGCTGAAGCCTGGTGTTCTTTTTATTACCTCTAGCCGATTGCTCTGTTTTCGATTTGGATTGAGTTGCATTTTCATCAACATCAGCATTTTCATCTCTAACAACTGACCTAAGACGTAGTAGGGTGACTAACCCCGTACTGATGTGAATCCAAGCGCTAGTAAGATTGTTATTCATTTCCGTTATGTCGTCTAAACTAAGACCTGAATTATACATATGAATAAATACGGACATACGTATTTATTCATTTATTTATTATATTTCCTAAACTATGTAGGAAATATAATGGTTTAAATTATATAAAATCGAAAACTTACGCACTCCACCAGAAGCGGCAGCTAAAGTCGCTACAGCATTAAACCAGGACATACCCATAAAGAAATCCTTCATCATATCATTAAACATATCACATAATTTTAAGAGTTTCTCGAATTGAGCTTTTAATTTTTGTTCCACATTTTCGGACTTTATTAATTTCATTAAGTTCATTGAGCACATATATTCAATTCTGTCTTTCCATTTCTGGAAGTCATTTGCCCACTGAACGAACTGTATTAAATCCACCTTTGTGGGCTTGCGTACCGAATATTTATCATTGGCAGCACGAGAAGCTTTGGCTTTGTTAAACAAAATCTGTTTTAATTTTCTGAAAGTCAAAATAAATTTTTATAAGACAACAGCATTATTTTTAGAGAAGTCTTTATACTTACGCGACATGTTCTTTTAGTAACATGGGACGCTCATGAACCCCAAATGACTGAGATTCTTTCTTCGGCGATGCCATTTCGTTTTTGAATTAAAGAAATTACAAAATATGCGAGGAAAATTTTTGTAATTGTGTTTGAAAATAAAATATTTGTTTTGATTTTTCTAAAATTTTTAAATTTTAATGTTTATATAGAGTCCATGTTTATGTGATTATACATTAATTTTAATTTTTAACAAGTATGGTTTATGAAGTCTACCTTTAGCTCTACGTTCTGTAAAGCTTAGCTGACTCGTTTTGCTTTTCGGAAAACTATCCTGTTTTGATACAGATCCTATCTCATTATACAATACAGATATAATACAGATCCGCTTATGGAGTTAGTGTCATCAATTACTTGTAGTGTGTGGTTAAACAAAACACACTGGGATCGCGTAAAAATATTTATTGAAAAGTTTCTGAGTTTGAAAAAAGTAGATCTTGACAGAAGCAGCACATGTATCACACTAAGATGAAGGGCAAGGTTAATCACCTGCAGCGGTAGCGAGGCCTGGACGCAGGTCACATCGATGGAAGCCACAAATGACTAATAGGGACCTTACCTCGAAGTAATACTAACGCTGTCCCGGGATAGGATAAGGTCTCTAGGAATGAGGGGGTGTGGCTTACTCCGTGCGAGTCGGGCATTCACTTTGCGGGGTGCCAGATTGTGGTCAGTGCGTAGGCATCCCATTTCTCCTTGCTGTAAAAAACAAAATAAAAAAATTCTCCTTTTTATGTACCAGTAACGATTTTCTATGATTTTGCTTTATATCATCAGTCTTCCATATTCTGAGGCCTTGTAAGTAAGTATATCTTCTACTGGAGGGTTTTTTGTGATTTTATTAAATCAATTCTATTTCATCATAGAAAATAAAAGATTTAGAAAAGATTTATCCTCTGTGTTTGCACCAACTAGAAGTGCAAGCCTGACGACAAGTACTTCTCCAGCTACTTCTTTACAAGAATACTTAGATTTCTCGTATCGGTGAGTATTTCTTTACCCTCGCTCGTGGGTACCGTTGCAGGCTTCATAACCTATCTCCCAATATTTTAACCACTAGCATCCTTACCTCTAAAATTTTGCTGGCTACAAGCGTTCTCAAGTTTACACATTATTTTTTGATGAGAGGCATCCGAATGCATTCATCACTCTCCATTATAACCGAATATAAGCTAATCTACTAACCGCACTTGCGCAATAACTCCACCCCTTAACCTATCGCACCTTCCAACTATACCATGCCCATGTCTTTCAACTTAGACTTCTAAGTACAAAACCTCTTCATCTCATCTCTCTACCTTAATTACTGCAATAAGATTTCTCACATTGTCCTCTGAGTCAGTGGGCTGCTGATGATTTTCACCTACAAAAAAAAAATATTTAACAAAATGTTTAAGAATCAAGATTCGAGATTAAAGATTTAAGATTTGATTGATTTAGATTAAAGATCTTAATTTTATATATGTCAAGTATTGTTGTTGTGATTTGAGTTTGTGCTATTGCGCACTTTTACTCTTTTGTGGCTGAGGGGGGGCTTATCTCTGCCCCACACTAAACTTTAACTATACTAGAATCATTATCATTTATTTATCTTCTAACTGATGACGGACCGTAGATCAGTAGATCAAGTATTGTTGATCTATACAAAAACAATTTGACAATTTTGACAGTAATTATTAATTATAAAGATATACATACTGTAATCAATAGAATTTCTATATATAATTATATATAATTATATTGTTAAATAAATGTAGATATATATATTATTTATTTAAAATTGTTCCCTTATAAAAATATTTACAGTGTATTCTGCTAGTTTACAGGCTAACATTATCATACTTAACGAAATATGAGTACTGTTAAATTTCTGTAATAACACCCAACAGTAACGAAATAAAATCGAAACAGTGGAGCATTTGAGTGCAAATGTCTGAGTTTGAGCTAATCTAAA